CAACCGTCCGATTTATCCAATATTTCAAATCAGAAAGAGTGACAGTGTCAGAGATAAAGGTTGAGAGATAGATAGAAAGATAGACAGATAGATAGATAGAGAGAGAGAGAGAGAGAGAGAGAGAGAGGGGAAAAGAAAAAAAAAAGAGAGAAAAAGATAGACATTGAGAAAATATGTGTTCTCGTTTCATCGAGAGTATCCCGTAAAGGTGTGTTTTATGACATCTATCAGAGAAGGTACGGAAAATTGTTCGTTGTTGTTTCATTCGATAAGACATTTTGATAAGTTTAATCATTGATTTTCGATTAAACTATATGACATTATTAAACATTCAACAAATCGTATTGTAAGAAAAATTGTCAAATATTCGACCTGTGTCTCGCATATTCCAAAGCTCTGTCCAATGCACCTAATCTCTCGTGGGCTCTGGCCAAATTCAAATAAGCCTCTGCTCGCATGTTAGGCGAATCCAGTTCTTCGGAGATGCAAAGTTGTCTGTGACCAAAGTCGATGCTGTCTCTGGAAAAAAATGAAAACGAAAGAAAATAAAAATAAATAAAAGAAATAGAACGATAAGAATAATAACGAGAGATTTATAATTTAGTTATATATTTGTGTGAACGTTTTGAATTACATATATAGGGACAATTATTATTCTAATTTTAATAATAAAAACGATCAATCCTATCTTTCTCTCGTTAAAATAAAACATTTTGAAGTAATCCGAGGTTTTAAGTGATACGAATCGGAGGTTCTTATATGGTCAGACAATTTTAAGTAGTAAAAGAATTGGAAGCTATTAGACGGTCAGACACTTTTAAGTAGTAAGAGAATCGGAGATTATTAAATGATTAGACACATTTAAGTAGTACGAATCAGTATAGATCCTTACCAATATAATCGAACACCTTTAAATGTTAATTTAAATCTTAAATGGGGAGAAATTTCAATATTCCACGACTAAATTCGTACAGAACGTTGAACAAGATTATTGAATAAATCCACTCGAATGTGATTCTAAATTTATCCTCGCGTGCTTCGTCGTGCAACCGAACCGATAGCAGGTGATAGTAACGTTAGTAGAAGTTTAGTAGTAGTAATAGTAGTAGTAGTAGTAGATCCTTCTTCAATCCAATGACAAGAATGTCAAAGAAAAAGAAAAAGAAAAAGAACGAACGAACGAAAAGTAAGGACAAATGCGGATTCCGTAACAGGTCGCGTAAACTTTGCAGTCCGCATTTATGAATAGATATGAGTATACGTATACATATCTACATTGAAAGAAAAAGAGAGACAGAGAAAGAGAGAGAGAGAGAAAGAGAGAAAGAGAGATAGTAGAAAGGGGTGGAAATGAGGAGGATTGGAAAAGGACGTTATTGTGTCAAGGATACTCCGAGCACGGCTCTTGCCAGCCGGATTTTCTCTGTCGGCTCGTGAAATAAATGCTATCTCTTACCGACGATCTCTTTATTAACTTCTTTTCCTCCAGTTTCCTCCGTCTCTCTTACTATTTTTAACGATAGACTAGAAAAGAAAGATCGAGATAGAACGACGAGCGAGAAAGAGACCAAAAAACTTGGGCAAGGCTCGTACGAGCTGTTAAATAAAAAGAAAGAAAAAAAAAAGAAAAAAATAAAAAAGAAAGAAAAGAGAGAAAAATGTCTTCTTCACAAAGGAATATAACATCTAAAAAAAATGCTTGGGTTAGAAGCAGTATCGAAATAAAACATCCTCGCGTAGAATCAATTACTTTTATTTAGGTGTTTTATCTTTTGTACCCCATATTCTTACGAACGATATTTCTTTTCTTTTTTTTATCATAATGAGGTGGGTTAGAAAAGAATATATTTTCTTTCTCTTTTTTTTTTTTTTTTTTTTTCTATCAGGAATGAACAGAAGATTCCTGTTCGTCGTCAGAGTTGTATTTCGTTGGCTATGTGTTAGTATGTATATGTGTATAAATGTACGTGTATCCTTGGGTGAGTGGTGATGTTAGTAATGTGTAGTACTAGGTTTCTCTCTTTCTCTATTTCTCTCTTATTCTCTTATTCTCTCTTTTATCTATCTCGCACTGAGTATGTACAATGCTCGAGGGTATTTTCCAATAGGTATCTGTGGTTTTCGATGTCTATAGTATAGGAGGAGTCCAACGTGTCTTATCGTGCGAGATTTTCCGCATGTTCGTAGAGATGCGTGGCTTGCTCTGATTTCCTCCAACATCTACGGATCCCTGTTATACATATGCATGTAAGTAATAGCAGCACGTGATTCGAATACCACGATTCTCCTACATCCGTTCGATCGTCTAACCGATTGGAAACGATAACAACTACTACCTACTACTACTACTACTACTACTACTGCTGCTGCATCCGATTATACGTTGACTTACTCTACTCGAAGAAAAAAAATAATCACTCGTCGTAGTCCAACATTTTTCATACGGAGATAATTAATATTGCAAATTTTTTTTTTACATTTTTTTTTCTTTACATGATTTGTATCGCGTTGTAATATTTTACTGATGAATCGTCATCGTCATCGACGACGACGACGACAACACGTTGACACACTGACCTATATTATTTTTTATTGGAACGAACAGTTGGACCGCATCGTAACGCAACGATGAGAAAAAAAGTTCATCGGTTGTTTGCAAAGTTCGTTCGGTAAACAAGGTTTCATAGATTGCTGGACAAATTCGCTTGAACTTTTCTTAAGACGAACAGTCGTTTCTTTCAACTTTATTCGGTTTTATTATTTTAACGAGATAAGAAAGATCGATCGCTGGGTTAAGTGTTTTACGTTGGTGATCTTCTTTTAAATAAATATTAAATTGAAGCTTTTTAATATGAATTATTTAGTTAAATGTGGATCGTTGTGGATTATTTTGATAAGATATTTACAGTCTGCTGTTCCAGTATCGAACTGGAAACTACGTTACAGATGCGCTACTTGATATAACCTTTCGTTGAATATTAAATGATTACTTAGAAAGTGTATAGAATTAATAAGTATACGCCGTATTAATTATACTATGCAAATGAAGTATTACGAGCCTTCCTTGATTCATCTTCCATTTAGTAGCTTAGGCTACTTTGTATCGAGATACCGTATCTCTATACCTATTAGATAGATTAACGCGAAATTATCTTTTATATTTTATTTAACAAAGGAAGTATAGAAAACTTTCTTATATATAACGTTACCTGTACTTTCCCCAATCCATATAGGCTTGATATAGGTAACCCAAAAGGGCGAATTTGTCCTCGCGTTGACGAATACTTTTCAATGCACCTCTCCATTTTCTTACGGCTGCTTGCTGTTTGTGAGCACGATACAATTTCAATCCTTGCTCTACCTGTAATCAATATAAACGTATACACAAACATTTATTTAGAATTCATTTTATTATCTGTATTGAACAAAAAAAAAAAAAAAAAAAAAAAAAAAAGGCAAGAGAAAGTAGAAGACCGTTTTAGATGCAACAAATCATTTATCAATTCGATACAATTTTCAGCATTCTTATTTTATCTATAATTAATCAAAACAAAATTTTCATTGTCATTAAAATCAATGTTTCTAAGGACCTTGGGAGGAAAACGAAGGACAGATAAAAAGGGTGGATTAATAATGTATGTGTATAGAGGATAAAGGGAATAAGATAATGTTGAGAATACATGAAGTCTACTATTGGATCATTATCACGCACGAGAAGTTTCAGGGGCGGCAAGTTGGCACACGCGTGACTGCGAACGCTTTACTTGCTTGCTTGCTTGCTTGCTCGTCGTTCGTTCGTTCGTTCGTTCTTTTATGTATTTGTGTAACGACACTTTGGATAAGGGCTGAAACGAGAGAAAATGCTTATCGATTCGACCCTGAACTTTGTCCCTGGCGGATTGAGCGATCTGATGAAATATAAATAGAACGTTTATGGGTAGAAACGTCTAAATTGAGAGACAAGTTACACCGACGTGCGTTCGCTTGACATTAATGAACATGGGAAACGCGCGTGTCCCATCACAGCTATTAGCATTTTCCTTTAATATACGGGAAAATAATTAACGACTCTACTATGGGAGAAAAAAAAAGTTGCATGTATATCTTCTTAAAGATAAATTGATTTTAAATGCTAATCAATTGAACCTCGGGTTATATTAATTATTGTTAATAATTGATATCTCATTAAAAAAGAGTAGTATCAACAAGTTGTTAATTTTGAAACGCAAGAAAATTATGGAATTCATGAAAATGAGTTTGCACATAATTTATCGAGTTTCCAACTATTTTATCACGTATTATAAATATATGTGTCTTTATATGTGTGTAGGAGTAAAAAGTAGGAGGGAAAATTGTCAACTACAATTTTATCATCCTTGAAAGCGTAGAAGGTACCCAAGTGCACTCTTTCAAAATGCTTTCGCTTCAAACTTGTTATCCACTGAGGCTTTAAATGACACCACTAAATGCGACATAACATGTGCACTACTAGTAATTTTGCGTGAGTGTATATGGTACGTGTGTTTTTTAAAGAAAAGATATAGAACAAATTTCCTGAGGTAACGTATGTTTTACACGTTTTTACATCCCATAAGAGAACACACACACATCTATACACATGTATACATGTATTTTATATAGGTTTTTTTTTAAGATTTTTCCTGTTCCTGTAAACGACGTAACAAAGATGTCGCGATAACTTAAACGAAAATCAATTCTATATATCGGAGTAGAAAAATTCTATTTCTCGGTTTGAAATAGGAAACATTGAGAAATGGTCGTGTTGTTTGTGGAAAAATAAAAGAGGAATCGATAAATCTGAGGAAGTTGATATAATAAATACTAGATACTAGATTGTCTGTGTGTCTGTGTGTGTGTGTGTGTGTTGTATTTGCAGGTATTGTACCGTTGTGTCGAGAATCGTTTCTGTTTGAACGCTTATGAAAGGATAGCGTGACTCTAATTCCGATCCATGGCACGGTTGTGAACTTGATAGTGACCGATAAAGTCGTGGCAACACATTCAACGAGATAAGTGTACTACTAGGGCTCGTAACGAAAGCGAAGAAGCGTGCCGATTCACGAAAAGGGAAAGTCATGCACTTGAGGAGATTTCTCTCTCTCTCTATTTCGTTGTATATTTTTTTCTTTCTTTTTCGATTAGCTTTATCGAATCGCAAATATTCGCACGAGAGATATATTATCCCCATTTAAATTGGATTTTAACTTCCTTCATTTGCTTTTTTTTTTCTTTGATTATTTTTAGATAGATACTTTTGAAAAAATTCACGATTAATTTTGAAAAGCGAGATATATTTAATCAAAGTAACAACACTCACCCTTCGACGAGCTAATTGTTGATCCAATCTCCACCTGCATCCTACGAGACACTCCCATAAACCAGTACCCGGCCTGTTATGTTGATAATGACCATTCCCGCTACCATTTTGATGACGATAATCCTCTTCCGCGAATTCGCAAACATCGAGAGGATGTCTCGAGCCATCCGGGCTACCCAATAAAGCGGTTGCCGATAATTGATGACTCGCCGATCCACTGTAACATTTTTTACACAATTTGTCTCTATAATTTGTTTTTTTTTTTTTTTTTTTATTTTAAAAAGAAAATTCACTTATATTAACGATTAAAATCTAACAATATTTTTATAATAATAATTAATACGTTAGTATATATATATATATATAGTCAGCATTTATCTTTTATTTTGTAAACGAGTGGTGTCACGTTTGAAATGCACAAAGGAACGGGGGGAAGTTTATCGAAAGGTAACTCGGGCATGAGGACGCCGAGACTCGGAACAAGATTATTAGCTTCGTTACTAGGTTCCCTTTGAAATAATGAAAATAAAAGCTAAGGTATATATCTGTCTGTGTGTGTGTATTTGTGTGTGTATGTAAGCGTATAAGTGTAGGTATATGCACGTTTAGCGGTAGACTAGCTAGCGGTGGGCTCGTGCTTTTGTGAAAGCTCAATTGTATCCGCCATCTCGTGGAGCGTGCACTCTTCTCCTCGGTACACTCGATACGTTTTGCATACGAAACCGAATACGCTTGAAATGACATGTACAACAAGCTTGAAAACGTTCTCGAGAAAGATACAAAATGGTATTATCCTTTAAATTAAAAAAAATCATCGGCAGAAGGGGGCAAGTCAACTCTATAACGCGTGTGTGTATATCTGTGTGAAACGAAAAAAAATGTGAAATTTAATTCGGCTATTCGTGTTTTTTTATTCTTTCACGTTTATTATACTCATTCAATCACTCTCTCTCTCTCTCTCTCTCTCTCTTTCTCTTTTGTTTTTCCCGTGTCGAAACGCTCAATATTTGTTCTCCATCGAACTTTGTCGAAGTATCGGTGCGATGGGTAAATATTTGCTACTGTACATAGGCAGTTGAGTATAGAAGCTCGTAAGCTAGCTATCGTACTCTCAATGGTTAGACTTTCTTTCTTTCTACTAGCTAACGCCATTCGTTTGACTCTTTCGTAAGAGCCTTTTTTACATTTCAAAGGGATACATATTTATGAGAGATTTTCAATGTAATACTATAGAATGATATATATATATATATATCTATAAAGTATTACGTTTACTCTATCCACGTAGTATCTTGTTAGTTAGACGATACTTTTGTGTTTGAAAAATTCTGGATTTATCAATGTTGAATCGACGACAGAGATAAAATAGGGAGGATAAAGTAAAAACATTAGCGTCGTTTGTAATGAGCTTATTTTCAAAAGATATTATTATTATTACAATATACACAATATATTCGTTCGGGATAAAATACAATTTCGTCTTAAAACCAACAGGGTGGGGGGAGGGGGAGTATACTATCTTCCAAATTTCCATATATAATATTATATTTTTATCTGAAAAATTGGGAATTACTATCGTATTACCATTACGAAGCTATTAAATATACGTTATCTTTAATATAGTTTGGTTAAAAATTCGTTGAAGAAAAAAGAAAAAATATATAAATGGCGAAAGCGTTTTAAAGAGGTAATAAGATACGTTCGATAAAATATGAGACTCGAACGTCGGTTACCACGTGACGTGAGTTTTAACGTTAACTATGTATGACCTCGTTATAGTCGTCTAAAAATGTAATCAACGTTGAAAGGTTAACGACTATGATGAAAATGACGAGTCAACGACAACGAGGATGATGAAGAAGACGAAAACGAAGAAGAAGAAGGAGGAGGAGGAGAAGGAGAAGGAGAAGGAGGAGGAGGAGGAGGAGGAAGAGGAGGAAGGGAAATGAGAGGAAGAAAATGGTAAGGGTGGTGGCGTTAAGCTGACATGTACTCCTATGTCTGACGGGGCTCCTTAATTTATTTCCAGGATGAACGGAAACTCCGGTAGGAGATAAAGCGCACTTGGCCGGAGTCCCAGAGTTTGAGTTTCGCAAACTCTACATCATGAAGGTTGTACATTCTCCCGGAATCGCACCTACTACCCCGTTTACCTCTAACTCGAGAACAGATCCCGTACTGCAATGCGACCAATGCGGGTCATCCTATTGAAATTTATCTTACGCGAACGGGATTGCTTGCATATTATCTGTCGGACAACGATGATGATTATGACAACGAGAACAACATTCCCCTTGCCCTTTACTTTTTTTTTCTCTCTTTTTATTCATTTATTTATTTATTTATTTCTATTTTTTTCCCCCGCGTGCATTATACGAGTTCAATCGAAATCTTCAAAGATTTATTTATTATATCTAATATGATTTTAGATGTTTAGATATTTATTATCGACAAATTAGAATTTTCGATATACGATGACTCGTACGTCATACCGATCGACCTTGTTGCTAACGTTATTACAAAAGACAAACAGCTTAGGGAAGATTACGAAACTGTTGGTGTCGTAACCATCAAACTCATGAAATCCAATAATTATCCTGTCGATACGCGACGTTTCTCGAGAAGAAACATCGACGGTCTCAACGATTGATCAAGAAACGTTTTTCTTTTAATCTAACAATCTCTTTTTTTTTCTTTTTTTTTTCTTTTGAATATATTCTTTTGATAATACAATCGAAAGAAATATAATAGAGGATAATCGTTTAAAAAATACTTATATTTTGAGAAGATTTTAAATGTTGAAAGATACCCTCGCCCCCCGCCCCCCATCCCCTCGAGAAAAAAGTTTATTATTTTATTAACACTTAACCCTTTTTTCTTTCTCTCTCCCCTTAGTAGAATATTTGTCCAAGACAATTGTACATATATTATACATCACCCTGAATCCTGACGGCTCATTTGAAAACGCAAGCAAAACCCAACCTTTTGAAATCTTCTCATTTGTATCATTACTCGAGTCGAGTTTCTATTGTTCGTGATATAAAATCCTCGTTAGAAGGAATATAAGCTCGCCAGTTTTCGTTTAGTTCGCTGACGCACGTCTCTACGTTTCTTTTTATTCGTACAAGAAACACATACATACACACACACATACATATATATATATATATATATATATATATATATATATGACATATGAGTGCTCGATAAAAGACAATATTCTTCATTTTCATATCCTTCTATGTGTGTTATAATAAAATGTAAGAAACACATTTCTCGGTAGAAAGGGGGAAAAAAAAATATGTCAATTACAGATTGCGAAGAATAATCGAACGTGGGAGAACATGGTCGTTGATCGTAAAAAAGTAAAAAGGAAAATAGCATAATCAACAAATTTGTCTTATGTGAAATAACACGAGAAACATAAAGACTGATGGTTGCTATGATATCGTCTACGAGTTATCGTCGGGAACGACGACGTTAACCAAATTAATATCGAACGAGCTATTGCCGACTTTATAGTATGACGTTGAAAGGATCGGTATATATATATATCTGTGTGTATGTGTGTGTGGGTTATTCTAAGTATATACGGGAGTGTGTATAATGAATGTGTGTGTGTATCGGTGTGCGTGAAAGAGATGGCGAGTTATCGTACGTATAACAGAGTCCACGTTTACGTCAAATCTGACCACGTTTGTCAAACAGATTACGCGCTACTAAATAACAACGCTTGGCACGCAACTAGAAATTTATGCGTTTCGCGCTTATACGAATAATTAATGAGTGCGTTGGTGGTTATTCAACGCACCAGTAAGAATTGCATATGTTATCATACTGTACCAATGAATAATATTTATTTAATAAATAATAATAATAATATATTATATATTTTTACAATACGTTGTAAACGTTCGTATATATATATATATGTGTGTGTGTGTGTCTCTTATATATATATATATCAATTTAAAAAATAATAAGAGCTAAAGAATGAATGTTTCTTTGATTATTAGAGAGTTTATGAAATTTTCCAAATGTTCTTGGTTAATCAATCTTACACACAATATTTCATTTCTCTTACAATATTATATTTTATTTTAATTTTTCTCTTTATTTCATTTGCTCGATTACGTCCGATACAAGTCAACGAATTCGAATGAAATCTTCCAATCATATATTTGTTTTCATAATACTATAAAAAAAAATATTCTCTATGGGAAATGTGTATTCTGGATAATAAAATAAATATATTTCAAATGAATTGATTAAGATTTTTTCTACGATAAGTAAAGAAATACGAGTTGGAAAAAGTTATCGAACAAGTGAACTAGTAGGTGAAACCTTAATCTTATTCTAAGAGAGAACACGTCTAACTTTCGTAGTTCACGAAATAAGGACCAGGACGATTGAATTTTCTTGTTAGCAATCGTGGTGCGCGTCGGCCGGGAATACGGGCGGTGTGCATCGGAATATAGGTCAGCGAAAGAGGTCGCAGGTGCCTCGCCCACCTAGTAAATGTGGTGGGAAAGCAATAGAGACAGAGTGAGACAGAATGAGAAACAGAATGAGAGAGAGAGAGAGAGAGAGAGAGGGAGGTGCATTTCGCTGCACCGTACGATACACCACCGACGTTGTTTCTGCTGTTTCCGCTTGCAGCGTTCTGTCCTATTCGCGTTTATGCGAAATATCAACGCGTAAGCCAAGTCTGACTGAAACATCAACCCCAACCTATCCTCTTATTCTTCATACGCGGAACGTCGTGCATATTCACGTACAACTTTGTTTTTTCCTCCCAAGATGACTTTTTTTTTTTGTTATCTTTTTCCTCGTTTTATTTTCAAAAGCATTTCCCTATATATTATGCGTCTTCATAATAGTTACTAGCGTTCCGTGTTCAAAACCGACACGAGTCGAAACTAATATTTTATCGTTATTTTTTTTTTGTCCTTTCTTTCCGTTACTCTGAAACAAAAATTTACGCTTATTATCATCTCGTCGTGCTGCGTGAATACGAAAATATTAATAAATGTAGTACGCGTATTCTTATTTTTTTTCCGCATCGATTGCAAAATTTCAATCGTTAAAAAAAAAAACTATACGAATGACGGTATAAAAAGTATCTCTCTTTTTCTGGGATTTTTTTTTTTATCCTACCAAAAATAGTGTCGTATCGTGTCGTATCGCGTCGATAGGAAAGAGAGAGAGAGAGAGAGAGAGAAAAGGGGGATGAAGAATAAAAAAAATAAAAATATAAATAAAAATATATTTAAAAAGAGAAGAAAAAAAAAGGAAGGAAGGAAGGAAGAAAAATCGGAACGTGGACGAGTATCTCGGTCGACTAAACATCGTTGTTCGGAGCGTTAGCTACCTTGCTCCATCGTAGAATTTCCCATTATAGCGTTGAAAACTCTTCGATGGAATGTCAAGCGCATCGCGTATCTTCTCTTGCGCGTTTCCGACGGCCTTCATTGTTCTAAGCGTCACACGTATATGTAACCTTTCTACTATACAGATATATATACACATATATGTAGATGTAATACACATATGCATATATGTAAGCAAACTTGCACGATTTTACGCTACTTTATTTATTGCACTTTTCCCCAGTTTCAAGGACTCTCATCTTCTTGCATTCTCCCTCCTCCTACTCCTCCTTCTCCTCTCCTTTCCTCTTCTCTCTCGTATTTATTCTATTATAACATTTCGATTGATTGATTCGTAGAACCACCTCTCACGGTTACGTCAAAACCGTATATCATCGATTATTAATTCAATTTGAATCACATCGGGTTACACAGGGTCTCGAATCGGCAATCAAATATGACGAAAATCAATCGAACCGATAGAGAATTTTCGCGTTAACCGAGGATAGGGAGGGGGAGAGAGCATTACGACAAAATTCTCTTTCGGTTGTAAATTTCGTTTCACATTTCATTTGAAAAAATAAAAGAACAACAATTTCATTGTTCATCGATATCGATGATTACGTATTCGAAACACATATACACACACACATGGAATATTTCAGTTCGATGTTCGATAACGGAATAATCCGATAGATTAGAATTTTCGTGATACCAAAACTTGTTATAGTTAGAATTGATAGAAATATATGTCTGTGTATCCTACGAGATATTTATATATATATATACGAAATATATTCTAATACATAAATAAATATATAAAAAAGATAAAATAAGATGGGAGTTAGTAGAATGCAATGAAACTCACCCAAGGTAATCCCTGGACGAAATAGACTCCCATGACATGGCTGGATCGCTTCTTCCTCACCTCGATTTCCCGTTCTTTCCCCTCCCCCTGTTCCCTTCTTCTCTCGTTTCTTTTCCTGTCTTCTTTCTTTTTCCTATTTTCCTTAACTCCAATCTCATCTCCCTTCATCAGCATTATCCTTACCGGCCGGTTTCTCCTCGTTGCACGCTTTTCTACGCCGGCACATATCCTCTTATTTTTTTTCTTTTTTCTTTTTTTTCCACTTTTCTATAAATCCACTTCGAAAAATCTCTTACGCTTCTTTTATTCTCTCTCTCTCTCTCTCTCTCTCTCTTTCTTTTCTTTTTTCTTTCTTTCTTATCGCTTATACCAGCTCTCCGCAATCTTCTTTTCAAAGGAACTGTCTCGTGTCCGAAGTGAATCTACTATACGTGTGTGCAAGTTTTGATGTATTTTTCAATGTTACTTACACACAAACAACAGACACCTACACGAGAGGATATTATTCTCCCTTCAAGGTTATCGATACTAGCTTGCTTTCCCCCTTATAGCTTCTCGTTCGACTTTCGATTTCATTCAAAGTGCTGACTTTACCTATGCGAATGTATTTCCTTCGCGTTTCTATACTTTTATTTTATTTCTCTTTCTTTTTCTCTCTTTTTTTTTTTATATTAGATATTTCTACTCTCTCTCTTTTTCTTACAATATTATTATATTTTTATTTATTTTTATTTATTTATATATATATTTATAATGTTTTTTTTTCTCTCTTTTTCTATTACAGATCGTTTAGTTATTCGTTATTAGAATCTCGTTAAGTATTTGTTTCAATGCGATTGATTGATTTCTCGTATAATTATTTTCTTTTCTTTTTTTTTCTTTCTATTTATTTTAATATAAAAACAAACTTCAATTGTGAAATGTTCGTACCGATAAACGTACTTTGAAAAAATTAAAATGTTGTCTTTTTTATTATCTTTTCTCGCCCGCTCAAATCAACTTCCTTGGAATATCGAGAATATGATCGAAAATTAAATGTTACACCTGAGGTAGTTTAGAAATCGTAATCGGAACTTTTTGTCTCCTCCGTTTTCTTCATTTATATATTTCTTTTGATAATTGTTTTATTCTTCTTGATTATATATAACGCGTTCGAACAAAATAATCAACGTTCACCTGTTTTTATAGTGTCACATATGTACTCGCTTATGTATACATATATATATATATATATTTTACTTTTATCTTTCTCTTTATTTCTGTTTAATCCGATGAAAAATAATTCATATTTTATAAACAGGAATATTTTATCTCTCTCTCTCTCTCTCTCTCTCTCTCTCTCTCTCTCTTCTCTGTTTTATCATATACTTTCCTTCATAATTGAACACACAAGTGAAGAAAGTTGAAATCCTTAGAGACTCGTCGAGTAGAGTAATAAAGACGAGACGAAAAGAGGAAATGGTAGAAGAAATGGAGGAGAATAAAAGTTCGCGATATTGACGTAGAGGTTTCCCGTAACGCGAACTTTGATTGGCAAGTGTTTTTCTTTTTTTTTTTGTTCTATTTTTTTTTTTTAACAGTTGGCAGTTATTTTTAATCTCACGATATAACGCAGAGCGAGATATAATTTATACTTTTCTGTTTTTTGTTTCTCTTCTTACTTTGTGTCTTTCTACGTATAATATATATATAATTTATTATTATAATTTATAATAATATATATAATATAATATAATATATGTAATATATAATATATATATATATATGTATATATAATATATATCTCGCGTTAATGCGATAACTTCGAAATAGTTTTTCTTTCTATATAACGGATGCCTCGGTTAATTCGTTCGTTCGTTCGTTCGTTAGATTTTTTTTCGTTTCGAACGAAGAAAAAAACTATTATTATTATTATTATTATTATTATTATTATTATTGTTATATACTCTCTACGAATAAACGTGTTTCTTTTTATTATTTCGTATCGTTTAAAAATATTTGTCGATTAACAGCGTGCGTGCTTTGCTTCGTGTGCTCTCGCTACTCGCTAAAATTTGATTATCGATAAAATATATATGCTTGGAAATTTGTTTAATATTTTCTAATAAATCCTTTCAAATTTTTATTATGATCTAAAACAAACTTTCTTTATATTATATATTTATCTCTCTCTTTCTCTTTCTATCTCTCTCTCTCTCTCTCTCTCTCTCTCTCTCTCTTTATATATTTATATATTTGCATATACGTATATATGTGTGTATCTATCCCCGTGTGTATGTGTTGTGTATATTCCACCCTTCCTCCTCCTGTTCCTCCTCTTCCTCCTCCTCCTCCTCCTCTTCTTCTTCTCTCGATATTTCAAGTCTCTCTCGTAGATCGAGAGACCTGTAGTGTAACAAACAACAAACTAATCGAGAAGCTCTCTTGCGATACTCTCTCGTACCAGCTCCGAAGCTAAGAAGCCGCAAGCTTTATACAAACTTTCACAGATCTTAACTTAGAAGAAGAATAAGAAGAAGAAGTCTTTCGGATAAGCTCCAAGTAATATCGAACTTTTCTAACTCGACGCGATCATTCAACCAAAATAATTCATTTCTTTTATTTTAGTCCAGTATCGTGATCATATTCGATATGATTTATACATATACATATATATATATATATATATATATATATATATATATATATATATATTTGTTTATTTAACAACAATAAATAAAAATTGATCGTAATAAATAAAAAGTCAGAACGAGGATCAATTTTCGAGCGCGTAAAAGTTTGAAAATTAATAGAAAGAAGGGGGAGGGGAAAAAAAAGAAATGAAAATAGAAATAAGTGTTCGTTAGTTTTAAAAGACGAGTTTGTACGATCTTAGCCGATGATGGAAGTTAGGCGGGCCGAGCTTGAACGAGGATTGCAACGGCACTGTGATTTGAGATCGTTTATGTGGTATCGGCTAAATAATAAGAGATTCGAATGGAATCGAACGAACCAAGCGATCGTTCCAGCGATTCGCGGTCGAGGCCGAAAAAAACGCTGCTGCTTTCGTATCTGGTTCAAGGCGTTTCCACATGCCGTTGATCGATGTTCCGTCCCGGTTCTGAACACGATCGCCGCCTCGCCACCCACCACCACCACCACCACCACCACCACTACCACCACCTTCACCACCTCCACCACCTCCACCTCCACCTCCTCCTCCTCCTCGTCTTCTTCCTCCTCCTCCGCCACCTCAACGACGACCGCCGCCACCACCACTATCACCGCCTCCCCCTTGACTACCACCCTTCTTTTGCACCTCCTTCTACTCCTCCTTCCCTACTTCTTCCGTTTATCCTCTCATCCGTAGAAACCGAGTTGATGATCTTTTCTTCTCGATCTTCGACATGATTTTAAAGACAAAAATTTCCAATATAATCGGACCAAATTTTTCAATTAATTACGCGAACTATATGATGACAAGATAAGAAATTATATTTCTATTTTCTATTTCCCTATTTTCCTATTTTTTTCTTTCGATAAACCCAACCGTTTCTATCTTAAGCTCGTTTACGAATTGCTGAACGCGAAAATTCTCCGACGGTGGTCGAGAGAGAACTGTCGCGCCCGAGCCGCAGCAGCCCGCAACACACGACTCGCAAGCGATCCTCCCACCCCCTTCTTCTCTCTCTCTCTCTCTCTCTCTCTCTCTCACTCTCTCCCCTTCTCTCTTTGCCTCTCCTCGCAAGCTTCCCACTACGCTTTTGGACGCCCTGTCCTTTCTCCCTTCCTCCTCCTCCTCCTTTCCTTCCCCCTCTGCTCTACGACGGGCAACCCCAACCCCCTCCCCTCACCCGCGCCCTCCCAACCCCCGTCTTCTGCTACACCACCGTCACCCTCTCGATCTCCCTCTCGTTGCTTTCGCCGACGCTTTCCACCACCACCACCACCACCACCACCACTACTACCACCACCATCACCATCACCACCCCTTCGACTCGCGGAGCTTCACCTACATCTCGTTACCAACCTTCGGATACTATCGGTAAAATTCTCTCCCTTTTCCTCGATCCACAGTACTCCCCCTGCTCCCCCTCCACACCCCATCATCCCAACCCGTCGGCTTGTATCACTCAAAGGATTCCCCCCGCCCCTTTTCCTTTTCCCTCTGTTTTTTCTTTCTTCTTCTTCTTCTTCTTCTTCGCGCCTTGTTTTTTTTTGTCAGATGAAATTCTCTGTTTCAGTAACCAGGTTATTTTTCTTCTTTCTGCTTTTTCTATTACTACTACTACTACTACTACTATTACCTTCCGGGAAAAGAAAATGTATATTTAATTCGTTTCGGAAAAGTTTAGAATTTTGTTTCCAAATCTTTTACGTAGCGATCACCCTATATAGATTTGAAGTTGGAGAGAGAGAGAGAGATACTGGGGGTAGTCGCTAAAAAGAATGATCATAGGAAGTAGTAAAGGTCGAAATAAATCGAGCTGTCCGATCGTGCCGCAATCTTGAGCCTGACTACTTGGGAGTGTTGAGTCACGTGACCCGTCCCGCCAATCGCAAGTAGTACGAGTCGAGGATTTCTACTTGCACGAGCGTCTACGTTCTTTCCGTGGACCGATCTCTTATCATCCCACTTTTATCCTGCTAATACTTTTCTCAAAGTAGATCAAACTATCGATGGAAAATACAAAATTTCATTGCGCGTGTATACGTCTATGAAACGTTTGAAAAAATTATTATCAACAAATTATTTTTTTTACTAAATGCTTCTATTTTATTTCTGTTTCTTTTTTCTTTCTTTTTTTTTTTTTTTATCTTGTTTACGTAATATAGAAATAACTCATTTTACGTAGATAGAAAATTAATGAGAGAAAAACTTACTATTAGTTGAATAATTTGTTAAAACATTATTAACCCTTACGTTAGGTCCCGGGACAAAAAGGTTCATACGACTCCGATATAGGTCGGTCGGTCATTCATACGTGGCCCTTGCATGGGACGACTCGTATATGAATCGTTAATGACACGAAAAAGGGTTAATAAAATTAAGAAAGAAAATGTTTCTTTGGAAAAAAAAAAGAAATTATTTCACAAGAGTTAAAACGATGTATGGTACAAGTATTAATAAATGAATAAATAAGATAAAAAATAAATGTAATTAATATAAAACACTGGACTCTTCAATCGGAATTCGTTTGAAAACTTTAATTTCTTTTCGTAGTTAAAATCACGAGAAAAAGAAACATTTCAGGTACGTGCACTATGAATTACATCTAATATTGTTGGATAATGAAAATGTGGAACTGTAATGAACTGTACCCGGTGATGAACGTTACAACTTGTGAAAGAACAAGATTGCGCTATAAATTTTCCAACGAGTTTTATCAACTTCGCATTCCTCATCCGATTCGTTTATTTCTTTCTTTTTCTTTCATTATATTCGACTTAATTTAACACCTAGCGAATAAATTTGCGAATGGATTATGGATAGGGGTAGAAAATGATCGGCTGAAATATCTGATAATTTGCCCCTTTGTGGTTCTTAATGTCCATCAATGTTTGACATCGACTGCTCTTACGCTAACGCGTAATGCTATAATGCAAGCAAGGCACTGCGTGCGTTAGACAGATTTTCAATACACGTTTCTCTCTGTAGCTCGTATAATATACAGAAAACATGGTTAGAGAAATGTATGTCAATTTATAATAAACTTTAA